TACTGTCTACGTTCAGCGTTACCAAGCATATTTCCTGGGACTGCCTAGTGATTCAAGAAGGTGCTACCTGCTGTCAAGTCACAATGGGTTTGGGCCAATGGCGGTGTCGGAGGCATGATCTACGAGCAACAGGACAATGTCTGACCGCAAATCGCTGTCGGCGATGCCGTGTTTGTGCAGTTTGTAGTCTCTGGGCTGGCGGATGGGTGATTCGACTGATGTGTCAGCCTCCGCAGGTTCTAAATAATAAATCAACCAATCAGAGTTCTGCCATTACATTTTGTGTATTAGCCCAATCATGGACTGAGAGGGTGACTGCACTAATCAGTGGCCGCTAAACACACAGAAGCTTTTTTGGCTTAATCATGGGCTGCGACGTTATTTTGCTTAAGGTTCTGTTTGAATATCAACTGTTCTGACTGCAAATAATGTTAGCTCGTTTTTATAGTTGATGTTCTACGCCACAAAAATATGCAAATTGGCCCTCGACTTATCACCAGCACTTGCGGACAAACGTCGGAACCCATGATACGTCATTGATTTTACCCACTTCTTGTTTAAACGACATTTCTAGTGCTTATGAGATACACTAGCTCGGAAAAATTGAATCGTTTGTCAGGTGGTCTATTCGGGATAGAGGTAGACTTCTATGAAGTGGTGAATACTTCGTAATGGTGCTGACATTGAAGCATGAAAGGCATGCTTGTGCGTCGTCGATCATCCTGTCCCTGGCTTACACGTCTATTGTACAGATAGATGCTGCCATTCCGTAGTGTGTCTAGGTTTGTTGACATGACATGGAAGTGACCACAACAGCGACAACAAAAGTACAAGCCAAAGAGACACTCAAAATAGCTCTCTGGATTGCCCAACCGTGTGACTTTGAGCATGTTGTGAGTATAGTTTGTTCGAGCGCTCATGCTCGAGAACCTAGTCAGAATAGTTGAAGCGGGTCAAAGGTGGAAGTGGTGAGCAGCTTGCATACCACATGGTACATTGTCTTGTGCGGTTTGATATTTAGTTCGAGACGGGATGTTGACATCGGCTGTGTCACATGGACTTCTGCCATTTTCGAAGATTACCAAACTGGAGAATGCAAACTGCACTACCACCCGCCGCCTCGATGGCCCAAGGTGCTGCGGCTGCCGACAACACTGCCGTGACGAACGCTGTCGTGGCGTTCCTAGAGGTCGTGGCCTCCATCTTGCGTATGCAGCACACTGGCGCCGCGCTGTCCCGTTGCCTCCATACGGCAGCAGGTGCCCACTCTTGACTCATGTTCGCCAACTTACGCGCTCTGTGTCTGATTGCAGTGGCCATTGAAAGCCCAGTGGTTATCAAAGCCCTACAACGAATCCTTCGCGCCGCCGCGTCTGCCTGCGAGTCGGCGACCGTGATCGACTCGATCGCAACCTCACTCGAAGCTGCATCCACCACGCTCAAGAACGAAAGCAGTACGATCGAAGCATGCGTGCAACTCGTGCTCTCTTGGTGTACACTCCTCCTTACGTGGGTGCATTCGTTCATGGAGCAGGAGCAAATGACGGCACTGCTTGACGCGTTCGCCCCCGTTGCGTCCAACCTGCGCCACGTCGTCAACTACACCATGTCGTGTCCAATCGTAGCTTACGTTGCTGGCCAAGTGCGCACCCACGCGTCGATCCATTTGACGTCCGAGCGGTTGTTTGCCGTACTCCAAACTTCGCATTCAGCGCTCACGAAGGCGCACGCCATGACGTCGGTTGCGTGGTCTTACGTGCTCCAGAAGACGACGACCCCACCAGCGATCCTGCCTGCGCGCCACCACGTTCATCGCCACCTGCTGAAACGATGCAGCACGACCCACCAGTCGGCGTTTACGGCAGAAACCATGGAATACATGCTGTCCATGCACGAAACCGTGCAGGTGGCGCTTTTGGATTTGGCCATCGAACAGGCCGGCCGTGTCCAAGAGCTCGAAGTAGAGCTGCGCGATGCAAACGCTTACGCGACGGAATTGGCAGAAGCGCTCGCAAAGGGCTCTATCGCCAAGCCCCGCCCAAGCGGATGCCCACTCCACACCCAACGGATTCGAGACCTCGAAGCCGAGTTGGCGACCACGACTGCTTTTGCAAATGAACTCGCCGAAGCCATCGCACGAGGCCCAGCGAAAACGCCGTCCCAACTCGACCCATTTCAAGACGTTGCCATCTCAGAGAGCTTTGGCCTAAACGACACCTCGTGACATGGGGCATCAATGCACGACAGTATTTAACACCGCCGTTGGTTGGGCCCGTTAGTATTCGGCATGGCGATTAACTACATTCATGTTCATACAAGCGACATTCCAAGACTAAGGTGACGCGATGCGCACACTCATGGGTCAGATCACCAGGACACACCAACACATAGGACCCAACTAGCAACTAGCTGCGCTCGCTGGTGGTACAAATGGCAAACCTGCGGAGTTAACCTTTCGAAGGAGAGCATCGAAGCAAAAAATCGCCAAATCGCCGGTGGTACATGAGAGTAGTCATCACAACGATTGACCGAAGTGCCCAGCGTCAATAATGCATGGACGTGGTGGCCACTGCCAAGCTGACTTGCAGCGAATTCTCGACTGCAGCCCTCACTCTGACGAAGTCACGGCTTCTGTCTGGGTGGCAAGTGTTCTGGAGGCCCGAAACGACTCAACCTCCCTCCCGTCTGCGTGCTTCGCCTTTGAGAACGATGCATGCCCCTTTCGCGCGGCGATTTTACAAAGGGGGTGAAGATTGTTCCGGTACAGTTGAGCCACTTTGGATGACTTCACGACCACAGATTCACACATTGAGGGAACGGTGGCCTTCCAAACATGTACCCTCGCCGCCCACATCGTACAGACAGGTCGCGGCTACCACAACCGTGGCCATGGCGTGATAACTTGGCTTCTTCAACCTTCCTCGGCCCATGTACCCAAGAAGTCGGGTCGCAAAGAAGGGAGCGTTCTCGATGCAATGAGACACGTAGTGAATGCACGAAGTCAGCGACAACGTGTTAAATAACAAACTCCGTGGCCTATCTACGACAACCATGGCGGCTGTTGCATGCGCGAGAGGACGTCGTGGGGAGGTTGCGCCGGCAGCCAGCGCCGCAGGGCAGTGCACGGTGGCCGTGGAGCGTGGACCGGCTGGTGTGTCGGTTTCGGTGTTAACAAAAAGTGACTAATCCGTCCAATTTTTCACGAGAAAGCGATGCTGTATTGGTCAGCATTTGGGAAAACGGGCCACGATGGCGATGAGGGAATTTCACTTGTTTTTTCTATGTAACGGGATTTTCAAAAATTTGCCGATACAAATTTCGAGTCAAATCAGATACATGGGAGTTCACGTGTTGACGGAACTCTGTCATGACAAAAATGCGTCGGATTGGTTCAAGGTCACGGCCCGAGAAGATCACCCATGGACGCAAGCGCGCTGGCCACAAGCGAATCTACCCACCGTCCGGTCGCCGCACGTACGACGCCGACCGAGCCATGGAAGTGGGTGCACGTGTATGGATCACAACGACAGAAGACCAATGGCAACCAGGAGTGCTAGACGATTGCAGGGATGACAACGACGGCACCGACAATCCCATCGTGCGTGTCCGTCTCAACGACGATGACTCGACTGTGGTAACCTCAGCAGGTACGGACTATGCATGCATGATGAGTCATGTTGTTGGCCTGACCCTGAATGATGTGTGTAGCGAACGTCTTCCTCCGCAACGACGTCGACAACTTTGCCGACGTCCCCAACTTGATTTCGCTGCAATACCTCCATGAACCGGAGCTTCTCCACGCCGTGTGCAATCGATATGAGCAGCACGCAATCTACACATACGTGGGCGAGATCCTCCTCTCGTTCAATCCGTTCCAGCGACTCGACTTGTACACACCTGCGCACATTGAAGCGTATGCAGCAGCCGCGGCCGTGATGAAAGCCCCAGACGACACCGCCTTGCCGCCACATGTGTTTGCAATCGCTGCGGTTGCATACCAAAGTTTATGCGACGAACACAAGAACCAGAGCATCCTCGTGAGCGGTGAATCGGGCGCAGGCAAGACAGAAAACACCAAGCTTCTCATGCAGTACCTGACCACTGTCGGCGCCACGACCACCACCACAGCATCGCCGACATCAACTGTCCACCCGCCGTCGTCCCGGCGACAGCGAGCAAGAGGCACTCAGTCCACAGCATCTTCACATGACATTCAAACCCAGATCTTGCAAACGAACCCGATCTTGGAAGCGTTTGGGAACGCCCGGACTGTGCGCAATGACAACTCGAGTCGCTTTGGCAAGTTTATCGAGCTTCAATTCGGCGACCACCACAAGATTGTTGGCGCCAAGCTCAGCGTGTACTTACTGGAGAAAATCCGCGTAAGCCACCAGTCCGAGAACGAGCGCAACTTTCACATCTTCTACGAACTGTGTGCTGGTGCCGACGACGAGTTGGCGGCTGCGCTGTCGCTGTCGGACGCCGAGGACTTTGCCTTGCTCAACGAAAGCGGATGTTTCACGCGGCGAGACGGCGTGGACGATGCCGCCCAATTCCAAGAAACTTCGAAGGCGTTCACAGACATGGGGATCCTCCAAGACGAGCAGCGGAGCATTTTCGGCATCGTGGCAGCGTTGCTTCATCTGGGCAATGTCGGGCTGGACGGTACGACGTGCGAGGCATCCAACATGGAGCATGCGACGATCGACGCCGAATCGCGCCATCATTTGGACACAGCAGCGACATTGCTGGGTGTTTCGCCCATGGAGCTCACACAAGCGCTTGTGACGCGCCACGTGACAACAACCAAGGACAAGATCATGGTCAAGCTGTCGCCTGAGCAGGCCAACGAGGCCAAGCAATCGCTGACGCAGAGTTTGTTTGGCGGGTTGTTCAAGTGGATCGTGGCGCGGCTGAGCAGTGTGATCCGGCACGATGCCGCCAGCGTCAACACGATCGGGATCCTCGACATTTTTGGGTTTGAAAATTTGGTCTCTAACGGGTTTGAGCAGCTCTGCATCAACTACGCAAACGAACGGCTTCAATCCCAGTTCAACGACCTCGTGTTTGCCAAGGAGCAGCGCATGTACGAGGCCGAGGGCATCGAGTGGAAGTACATCGAGTACCCGGACAACGCGCCGTGCTTGCAGCTCCTGGAAGATCGACCGATGGGCATGTGGTGCTTGCTCGACGAAGAAGGGATGCTACCTAAGGGGACGAACGAAGGCTGGATCACCAAGCTGTACAGCCAGTACCTCGATAGCTCCTTCGACAACACCTCGCCGCCTTCAACCACCGCCATGGGCAACCATCT